AGAGCGGGGGGTGGTGCTGAGACAGGACACACGGGTGGAGGGGGGATGAAAGACACCAAGAATACCAATCTAGAGGTATAATGGGGGAAGTCTGATGTGGACAAGTGAATATTTACGCGTGCCTATTTACACAAAAGCAATATCCCTATGTAAATTATATATATTTACATATGTACATATCCTGTGTAATCTGTGCCACTTCAGAGTAGGGAGGGATAGCAAACAAAAACCTGTCACTTGTTCTCCGCTCCCACTTTCTTTTGCCTCCGAGTGTCTCAAACGATGGAAAACTTGCCTTTCTTCTCAAACACTAATCCGTGCTTGCGCCGGGCCCAGAAGACGAAGCCAGGCGGCGGCTGCCTTCATCTCCGCCTAGGGCCGGCTCACTTCCTCCCCGCCGCCCGTGGGAAGCCCCGAGTGGCCGCGCCGCCGGCGGTCCCCAGCGCACCCCGGTCGCCAGGGCGACGCCTCAGCTGGTGGACGGCGTGGGCACGTGACCGGTCCGTCACGTGACCGGCCCGTCGGCGTCCTCTAGCGGAGGGCTGTGGACGGCGCGCCGGCCCTGCTGCGTCCCGGCCTGGGGCATGCGGGAAGCGGGCGGGGCGGGGACGTCCGCGCCCACCTAGCGGCCTCCGCGAGAGCCAGCCAGCCACCGGGGGTGGGGCCCTGGGCCGGAGTGCGTCCCGGGCGCCAGCCTCCCGTCCGCAGCTCGCACCCGCCCACCCGCCCGCCGTTGGCCCCGGAGCAACTGCCGCCCGGTCCCGGCCTGCGTCCGCGGCTGCGATGCGGCGTGGACCCCTGCCCGGCCGGTCCTGTCCGGGTCCTGCTACCTCCCCGAGCTCAGGTAGGTGCCGGCGCGTTCATCGCCGCCCGGCTGCTCGTCCCTAACTCTTTAGTGGAAACGGTTTTAGCCTGTGTCGTCTAAATGAAGTTTTTAATAGGGAAGTTCATGTTGGAGATTCACGGTGGCTCTTCCCATCCGTGTTTCCATAATGCGACTGAACCCCCTTTACAAAAATGATACCGGAAAGCCCAATCTAGAAAGAAAGCAAACCTTTTTTGTGCCTCATGTATCACCTGTTAAGACTTAAGTGGTCACAAACAGACAAGACTGGTTATGGAGTTGTGTTTTTTGTTGTTAATTTGATGTGTCTGAAGATAAATTTGCGTTGTGTTTTCTCCATTATTTTTCTCCTAATTTTGTTTGATTATATGTTATACAGTTAGAAAAATAGTTAATATATAACTAAAGTTCTGGAGCAAGCCCCAATTATTTCTGAGAAAGACCTTTCTCTTACCATGTTTTACAACCCAGTCCCAGGGGAAGCAAGCTTGTGTTTATGAGAGCTCACACCCAGTTGCTGGGTTAGTTGCTCAAGCGCAGAGTGGGAGTGGACTGTCAAATCATAGTCTGTGAAAAACACGAAAACTGAAAGATATATGAACTACAGTTCTTAGAGTCATGGAAACTTGTGGGCATGATCTTTTACCAAGTGTTGACAACCTCAAGCAAGAGAATTTTGAATTTTGAGAGACTCAGTTTAGGAAGAATAAAAAAGCCCCGTTTGACATAGTGAATGAACGTATGTATATACTGAGTGTGAAGTACAGGCAAAGGCAACCATCGGGAATGCCTTAAAGTACAGAGCAAATCGGTTTCCTGTGGAGGTTGGACTTGATAAAAGGATGTACTCACATTAGAAGTTTAATGGTAAAAGGGGGGAGCCTGTTGGCCTTGTAATCCTGGAAGGGGTGTGTGGGGGAAACCCCATTTAAAAAATTTTGTTCACTTAGTATTTCTGGGAGGTGAGCAAGAATTGGAGGTCTAACATCAGTGGAACCCAGGTGGAGTATGCTTTCCTTTCCTGTTTTCCAAGACAGTTCTCATCCTTGACCTTTAGTTTACACTTCTGCAAGCTAATTTTTCTTTGGTTCTTTGCTTCTGCTCCTGAGTGAAGAAATTGGATTGTCCATGTCGTGATTGCTACTAGGATTGTCAGATGAAATAAAGGATTCACAGTTATATATAAATTTCAGATCAACTTGAAATAGGTAAAACATACTTAAACTAAAAATAAAAAAGATCATCCTTTATTTGAAAGTAAGGTTTAACCCAGCTTACTTGAGTTTGTTGTTGCTAAATCTGACTGCTCTATCTCTAACATGTCTGCTTCAACAAATTCACACTAGGAGAAATTAGCTCAAGGCCTAGATAGGTCTAGATTGATTCTCTTGTCAAGAATCCCTATGGGGAGGGGGAGGGAAGAGTCCCTATTCGGGGCTGGAGAGGTGGCTCAGTAGCAGAAGGAACACTTAGCACAAATGAGATCAATCTCCAACACCATAACAAGCAAAAAACCAAACCAAAACAAAAAGAACCCACTTACTATTGGTACAACCATCTTGACAGACACTACTCTGTCACAGGTGTTTGTCCTCCCTCCCTCCCTCCCTCCCACCCTCTTTCTTTTTTGAGACCAGGGTCTTGCTGTGTAGCCCAGGCTAGCATCAAACTTAACTGTCCTCTTGCCTTAGCTCTCTTAGGGCTGAGATAACAACAGGTGTACACCACCGTACCCACTGCACAATGTTAATTCTTCTAAATATTATTGAATTGTGTTCCCACATAGTTGGACCGTTTTACTTTTCCACCAGCAGTGTAAGAGAGTTTCTGTTGTTATCCTGTCTGTATGCTCCCCGGAGCTCAGTGTGAGAAAATTCTTTATCTAATAAAACTCTAGTACAGTGTATCTAAAGGGCTCTTACACATGGCAGTAATATAATAAGTACCTCATGCTAACTGATTCTGTTGCTTGTGTGCCAACTGCAACAATATAAAGGTTTGTTCAACTTAGAAATAGACAACTGATTTGAGTAAATATTTTTTTTTCAGACAAGATATACAAGTTGAAGACAGGAAAAAATACTCAAGACAAATGCAAGTCAAAATCAAGGTGGAGAGCTGATGTAACTTGGAGGTCTAGCACGTCTGGTATGCTCCGGGCTGTTGGTTTGCTCTCCAGCTCCAAAGAAAGAAATTTGCACTGAAATACCATATCACACCCACCAGCATGACTAAAATTTAAAAAAAAACAATAAAAAAAAAAAAAAAAAAAAAAAAAAAAAGGTGGTGGAGTATTGGAATCGTCATGTACTATTGGGTGGGAATGTGAGGTGGTGTGACTGCTCCAGAAACAGTCTGGCAGTTTGTCAGATGTTTAATATTTTTTTCATTTATTTTTATTTTATGTATATGAGTGTTTTGCCCCATATATGTCAGTGCACCTGTCCCATGCAATGCCCGTGGAGGCCAGAAGAGGGCATCGGATCCCCTGGAACTGGAGTTACAGACTGGTGCTAGCTGCCATGTGGGTGCTGGGAACCAAATCCAGGTCCTCTGCAAGAGCAGCCAGTGCTCTTAACTGCTGAGCCAGCTCTCCAGTCCCTCTCAAGTGTTTAAATACAGAGATATGTCATGATATAGCAGCCCACTGTAGGTATATATCCCCCCCAAATGTAAATATAGCCACACCAAATCTTACACATAAATTTATGGTGTTTATAATAGCTTAAAAGTAGAAACAGCTCAAATGTACCAACTGATGAAGGGTTAAACTAAATGTGATCTAAACATACAGTGGAATATTATTCAGACATAAAAAAGAATGATGTACTGAGTGCTGCTTCCACATGTAAGGACCTTGAAAACATTCTAAGTGACAAAAGGTAAGTACAAAAAGTCACATCGTGGCTGGTTAGATGGCTCAGCAGGTAGAGTTGCTTGCTGTCAAACCTGATGATCCCAAGGACTCACATGGTAGAAGCCCATAAGTTGTCTTTTGACCTCCATCCACAGTGGTATTGCATACACACACACACACACACACACACACACACACACACACACACACCAATAAAGAAAAAAAGAAAGAAGGAAACTGTAAAAAAGTGTTTTTAAAACCACATTGTGTCATTAAAAATGATTGAACTTTTATGAATTTTTTTCAGTGAATATGCTTGGCCAAAGAGGGTTTTCTGGATTGTTTGTTTGGTTATCTAGATGTTTTTATTTTTTAAAGATTAAAAAAAAATTATTCGTATGTGTGTGCCCGCTTGAGTTGATGTGCAGCTGCCCAAGGATGCTTTTTTTTAGCTTTAAAAGAAACATAGGGAAGTGGGTACAGTAGTGTGCACTGACCTATTGTCTCACACTCTGGAGGCTGAGGCAGGAAGATGGCTTGAACCCTTGTCTACCTATCTAAAGATTATGCAGACAATGTCAACTGATAAAGGAAAATTCAGTGTAAAAGCTCAGTGAAAGTGGGGTCATATATTGCATATATTATTTTGAAATAGGATTTTCACTCAGTTTGCTATATGTAGATTTGTACCTTATTTATTTATTTATTTATTTATTTATTTATTTAGTTAGTTAGTTAGTTAGTTAGTTAGTTAGTTAGATTTTCCATGTTGCCAAGGGTAACCTTGAGTTCCAATCCATACTGCTGGGATTGCAGGCATATGGTGCTGGGGAGTGAACCCAGAGCCAGGCAGGCACTCTATCAATGAGCTATTTCCCCAGCCTTGCATTTCTCTCTCTTTTTTTAAATGGTATTCCTTTGTAGACTAAATTTGTTTACTTCTCTGTCTATCCAGTACTTAGCAGCCCAATATTTGTGGGATGAGCTGGATGTAGTGGCCCATGCCTGTAGTCCCAGCATGGGACGTCAAGGCAGGAGGATTGCAGATTCAAGGCCAGCCTGACTACACAGTGAAATCCCATTTCAAAAAAGAAACAAAAAAAAAAAAAATGAGGGAAGGAAAATATATGGATTCCTAAATCCACAGCTCATTTCCTTTGATATTGGCAGGTAGGTATTTGGTGTGCTATAATTTTTTCTCTTTTATAGCAGCATTGCAGTGTTCATTCTTGTATGTACCTGGTGTGCATATCTTTAAACATTGATGGGATTATTATTACACTGTAGAACCTTAAACATGGAATTGTCTGGCTAAGGGCTTTATGCTGGGTAGTGGCCACTGCTTACCTCATTTGTTGCCCAGGCTATGTTTTCATTAATAATATGTAGGAACTCTTTTTTTTTCCCATTCATTTGTCTGAATAACTAATAACATTTTTTAATTTTTTCTTTATTTTAAAATTA